GATTACAAGTGTTAAGGGTTCACAGGTAGCGGGACCCCTATGGATCCCCATGGATACTAGTAGGCTGGTAAATGAGGAGAAATATGTTGTGTAATGATTGAATTGCAAAGGTGTGGTAAGTATTATGTTATACAGCTCATATGATTTCATGATAATGATAATGTTACTGCTTACGTATATTGTTTTATGAATTTCACCGAGATAAGTGGATAGTAAAGGATTTTATTATTGATAAAAGAATTTGTTGTAAATTATGCTCAATTGGTCTTTTTGTGTTTTCTACCCACCTCTACCTCCGTGACGGTGAGATAGTGTGATGTCTTTACTGGGGTAGTGTAGCTCATTCCTTATTTAATCATTTCAGATCAGGAAGACATTGTTCCTGAGCCCGTTCCGCAGGAAGACGGCGAAGGGGATGCCTGAAGACTCCGTAGTTATATTTATACCTTTATTTTCGAGTTTCTCTTTTAGTTAGTTTGTTTTTTTATACTTTGAGCACGTTTTTAGTTTTAGTGTAAGGGATGTTAATCAAATTTTTATTACGCTTCCGTATTTGACATTTTTAATACATATATTTCATTTCAAAATTTCGGGGCCGTTACAGTTAGAGCCAAGTGTTGAGAATCATGTAACTCCTGAAAACTCTTTACATTCTAAGACAGATCTATCTACTATTCCCAAAAAAGGGATGAATGAATGTATTAAAAATTCACTCTACCCAATTTCAAACTTTGTCATTTGATAGATGCTCTTCGTCTCACAAATTCTTTTTCTTTTAATGAATTTAATTGCAATGTCTATTTTTAATACATTTTTTGAGGTTTTATCTTGTGAAAAGTGAAAAAATATCATGGATGTTAAAGTATAGGCTCTAGAGAAGAATCAGACATGGGAAGTGGTGGATCTGCCCACAAGAAAGAAACTTGTAAGGTGCAAATGCGTTTCATAATAAAATATACGGCAAATGGGACAATTGAGAGATATAAAGTAAGATTGATAGCGAAAAAGCAATACACAAACCTATGAGATAGATTATCAAGAGACATTCGCACCAGTGACTACCATGAATACAATGCGAATCTTATTGTCCTTAGTTGCCCATTTTGATTGGGAACTGCAATAATTTGACGTGAAAAATACTTTCTTATATAGAGATCTATAAGAAAAAATTTATATGAAATTCCACTAAGATTTATCAAAGGAACATGAACAAATAGAGTGTATAAACTCAAGAAGGCACTCTGTTGACTCAAGCAATCACTAGAGCATGGTTTGACAAATTTGAGAAAGTAATGATAGATTTGAGATATAAACCAACCAGAGAAATTACACTCTATTTATTAAACACTCAAAATTCAGGGAGAGTTATAGCTCTCTTAGTTTATATTGATGATATAATTGTAATAGAGAAAATGAAAATGAAAAATTAATGCTTAAATAATGCTTGAAAAAATAGTTTGAGATCAAGGAGTTAAGAAAGTTGAAATACTTCATTAGAACTAAAGTTGCTTGCTCAAAATCAGGAATCTTCATCTCACAGTAGAAACACATCCATGACCTATTAAGGGACATTGGCAGGGTAGTATGTAAACTAATTAGTACTTTGATTGATCACAATCATAAATTGGGGCTAGTAAAAGAGGATATGTTGGTAGATAAAAAAATTTATCAGAGATTGATTGGAAAATTAATATACTTATTGCACACAAGACCGAACATTACTAATACAGTGGTATGATAAATCAGTTCATACACAATTCTAAAAAGATGCACTTACAGGCAGCCAACAGAGTGGTAAATTACCTAAAAGAGACACTTGGGAAAGGTGTTATGTTTAGAAAGAATGACAGGTTTTGTTCCTAAAGACCTATACTGATGCAGGCTATACATGGTCGGTGGTGGATAGAAAATCTACTATAGGTTATTATATCTACCTTAGGGGTAACTTGGTTACTTAGAGAAGTAAGAAACAGAACATAGTTGTAAGGTCGAGTGCAGA